GAGTGAGCGATGCGTCCGCGTGGACAGCTGCTATACAATAATACATTTCCATTTACCTCCTTCTCTATATCCATACAAAATATCTATCAAACAAATAAAATTAAAATTTTCTTTTGAAAAATGAAACCATTCCATCAGTATTTTCTTATGATGTTGTCACGTTCAACTATCGTCAGTAAACCGACTTTACAGACAACCGATTTTTGTATTAAATGATGGCTATCAAACTCCGGATAATCTTTGCTATTCTTGTAAATTAGTTAATGCTAACGGCTGTTCATTATTTTCAACTGTTCCGAAAATAAATGAGAAGTACGAAGAATATTTTTAAATAAGATACCATTAATTTCTATTGAAAATGTCTTGAATTTCTTTATAACAGTAGGTACTTGTACGGTATCATATTTTTTCAAGATTGTTAGCATACTCCCTGTAAAATTAGCTACGCCAATTATCTTTCTACGTTTGACGTTTCCTAGAATAATGACTGTGAGTGACAGATAGGTGAGTGATCTTATAATGGTTCCGCTTTCTTTTAGAAGCACGGAATTCTAAAAAAGACGATATTCTTTAATTCCCATTTTTACCTACACTTTTTATAATGAAATATGATTTTCCCAACTGTTGTTTTAGCAACTAAAAGCGTGTATTGCATCTGTTGGTGAATTACGTCATTGGCTTGTTATTTTTTTTTTGGTATCTTGAACATAAAGGCTAAAATGGTTACATACTGTTTTCTACCTATTATTCTTTTCTTACTTCTAAATGAAAAAGAAAAGGAGTGTGTTGTAATTTGATACGATATTAAAATTTTAGATAGGATGATAGTAATTTGTTATTTCGTTATAACATAACTTTACGAAAAATTTTACTTATATACAAATTAGGAATTAATTGTTATCTGATCTCACAGAGTCTATACCAAACTGTGTCGTGTGTGTAATTTTTTTTTGCTTATGTTTGGAAGACAATATTTTAAAAAGGTTATGATAGTAAAGGAAAATTAATTAATAAAATTTTAAGTTATGACTAAATATGTAAGTAAATTTTTTGGGATCTCGTATAGTTGAAATTGAATACCTCTCAAACTGCACGGAGAAAATGAAAAACGAAAATTTACCTAAATATAAAAGCGATATTTACAATTTATTT